TCAGCGACAGACATACATACACACTCACTTACAAAACATACACTTTCACTGACAAACACACACTCACTAACAGACATCAAACACACTCAGTAACAGACACACACCCAATAACAGATACACTCACTGGCACACACACTAACACAAACAAACAAACACACACACACTAACACACAAACACACACACACTAACACAAACAAACAAACACACTAACACAAACACACACACTAACACACAAACACACACACACTAACACACACACTAACACAAACAAACAAACACACACACTAACACACAAACACACACACACTAACACACACACTAACACATTTTTAAAAAAATGTAATCCCCCCAGCCTCCTTACCTTTTGGAGTGCTGGGGGGATTCCCTGGGGTCCAGTGGTGGTGCTGCTGGGCTCCTGTGTTGCCTGCGCGCGAGGGAGCACTCTGCTCTGAGTGCTTCCTCTTCAGCATACTCGCGCGCCGCATAGGGATGCCGGAGCCGGAAGATGACGTCATCTTCCGGCTCTGGCATCAGTGCGGTGCGCGAGGGAGCTGAAGAGGAAGCACTCAGAGCAGAGTGCTCCCTCGCGCGCCCTCCCGCCTGTCTGCCCCGAGGCTGGCCCTGTGGGTACATACCGGGTAGCAGGGGCGGCCGGGCCCTCTGGTGGGCCGGGCTCGGTCGCAGGCGCGACCCATGCGACCCTGGTATGTACGCCACTGGATTGAGGCCTGGGCTTTGACTAGGCCATTCCAACACATTTACATGTTTCCCCTTAAACCACTCAAGTGTTGCTTTAGCAGTGTGTTTGGGCCCATTGTCCTGCTGGAAGGTGAACCTCCGTCCTGGCCTCAAATCACGCACAGAATGGTACAGGTTTTACTCAAGAATATCCCTGTATTTAGCACCATCCATCTTTCCCTCAACTCTGACCAGTTTCCCAGTCCCAGCTGCTGAAAAACATCCCCAGAGCATAATGCTGACACCACCATGTTTCACTGTGGGGATGGTGTTCTTTGGGTGATGTGATGTGTTGGGTTTGCACCAGACATATTTTCTTTGATGGCCGAAAAGTAAAATTTTAGTCTCATCAGACCAGAGCATCTTCCTCCATACATTTTGGGAGTCTCCCACATGCCTTTTAGCAAACTCAAAATGTGCCATTTTGTTTTTTGTTGAAAGTAATGGCTTTCTTCTGGCCACTTTGCCATAGATCCCAACTCTATGGAGCATATGGCTTATTGTCATCCTATGTACAGATACTCCAATATCTGCTGTGGAACTCTGCAGCTTCTCCAGGGTTACCTTAGGTCTCTGTGCTGCCTCTCTGATTAATGCCTTCCTTGCCGGTCTGTGAGTTTTGGTGGCCGGCCGTCTCTTAGGGGGTTTGCTGTTGTGCCATGTTCTTTCCATTTGGTTATGATAGATTTGATGGTGCTCCTGGGGATCAAAGATTTGGATATTTTTTATAACCTAACCCTAACTTGTACTTCTAAACAACATTGTCCCTTACTTGTTTGGAGAGTTCCTTGGTCTTCATGGCAGTGTTTGGTTAGTGGTGCCTCTTGCTTAGGTGTTGCAGCCTCTGGGGCCTTTCAAAAAAGGTGTGCATATATAATGACAGATCATGTGACACTTAGATTGCACACAGGTGGACATCATTTCACTAATTATGTGACTTCTTAAGGTAATTGGTTGCACCAGAGCTTTTTATGGGCTTCATAACAAAAGAGCTGAATACATACGCACAAGCCAATTTTTTGTTTTCTATTTCTAAAAAAAATAGTTTTATGTATATATTTTTCTCATTTCTTTCATATTTTTCTCATTTCACTTCACCAACTTAGACTATTGTGTTCTGATCCATCACATAAAATTCAGATGAATAAAACATTGAACTTAAGGCTTTAATGTAACAAAATAGGTAAAAAGTCAAGGGGTGGTGAATACTTTTGCAAGGCACTGTATATATATATATATATATATATATATATATATATTTGTGTACGGGGTAATTAGAGGACGTACAATTAAAAGTATGTAGTTCGATAAGGACCAAAGTCGGTTGAGGTGTGCCGAAACCGACAAGAGGTCAGGCCTGCAAAAGAGGGCCCACCTGGTATATAATTGAAAATAACAAAGGGTGAGGTGGGAGGGGAACTTCCAGACAGCGACGATAGGTAAGCTGGGGTTACTGGGGATTTAAATAGGAAAATAACCCCTCCCAAAAATTCAGGCATACGCCTTCCACTTGTGTACGGGGTAATTCGAGGACGTACAATTAAAAGTATGTAGTTCGATAAGGACCAAAGTCGGTTGAGGTGTGCCGAAACCGACGAGAGGTCAGGCCTGCAAAAGAGGGCAAAAATAGAAGACAAGATTAATTCACAGACTAGCAATCATTTAGTCACATTATCGATAAGAGAGTCTGATTTCTATCCTTGGTTAGGAATGTTCCCATTGTAAACCAACTAACCATGACTGTCCCGCAGTTTTAGGGTTTGTGTGAGTGAATGCATGCTGATCGTCAGCGAGTTTGTACAGTGGTTGGAGAAATGTCGATCTGAGTATAACACCGTTTCTAGTTTGGAATAGGTTGAGAAACCACCAGTACCATTATCCCTATCATGGGACTGCTACGTGTAGTGAGAGCATAAGAATGATATTTACAGACATGATATTACAGGGGTTATTACAGGGTGATACAGATTGTAAGGTATCAGCATGGGTTTAAGTTCACTTCCAAGAAAGACTGCCACATTGTTAAAGTGGGTGAACATAGTCACTCAGGTTAGACTTATGTAAAACGTATCTTTTCTTCAAAGAACTGTTTTGTTTTTTTTTTAATTTTCTTGCTTGTAAGAAAGGTACTGTGCAAATGTGTTTAAAGGAGAAGGTGCATATCAATATGTATAATGTATCTTAAGAATATTGGTATAAATTTACTTACTACAAGAAAAGCATCAGCTTTACTCTACTTGGCTCCTGTAATAACAGTAATATTAGAAGAATGATCTAGACTTTTTTTTTTTTTTTACTGAAATTAAAGGCGAATATACACAGCCTCAGTCCCTGAAAGTATAAATTATATTAAATAGTATACTTCCATGAGTAAGGCAACAGAAAATATGTGCATTGGGATGATACCATTGCATGGCGTCTCACTGCTTATTAAGAGATATATTATACTGATAAGCAAGGGGAATTTCAGAAAAGATGCAAAGTAGAGTATGAGAAGTTAGAGCATTGTAATGAATGTTGGCAGAAGCAAGTCTGAAATGTGTATGTGAGTTTAGAGTATGATTCTGAGCTGAAGGCCAATTGCCTGGGTTGTGGTCTCATACGTGAGATTGTATATACGGTTAAAAAAAAGTCGAACGGCGGGAATGGCCCGAACACGGCTATTCTCGCCAGTTACCTGGTGTTCGTTAGTTTGTGCGCGTCTGTGCGAACAGAGGTTGTCGGGAAGCTGCAAGGAATGACGGGACCGGAAGTGCGATGCCTGTTGAGGACCCGGAAGTTGGGAGGCGAGCAGGCCAGAACTTCCAGACGGTGACGATAGGTAAGCTGGGGTTACTGGGGATTTAAATAGGAAAATAACCCCTCCCACAAATTCAGGCATACGCCTTCCACATATATATATATATATAACCAGGGGGCTGGCTGCACTCACCTGAACATGCATAAATGGGGTTCTGCTGGGGGCCAATTTAAACAATACACAAGATCCAGCGCACTTACTTATCCACTAAACAGCAACTTCAATGTTGACAGATTTTATTAGTTTTTTTTTGTTTGTTTTTTAAACACCTAATCTAGGCAACAATAATGGGGGTTTAGTTACTTTATATGATCATACATTGCATAAGCCTGCCACAACATCAATAAACCCCATCTTTGGCATGTCCCACTCTAACAGACTAATGTCTGTACAGCCAGCCCCCTGGTTTCACATATATGTTTGGGAGTCTAGCCAACTCCTTGGTTTTGCACCCCTCCCTGTCACAGGTGTCTCATCCAAGGGCCCTATTTAGTCTTGTATTGCAGAGAGACCCTGATTTCCCCCCCGAGTAAGTGGGTTATTCTCATAAGAGCAGACATTAGGCTATTAGAATAGGACCTGCCAAAGATGGGGTACATTGACGTTGTGGCAGGCTTATGCAATGTATGATCATATAATGTAACTAAACCCCCTTTATTTCTAACCCTGAAAAAGAAATACGAATGGCTTTCCATGATATGTCTAAATAATGTTTGTATTTAAATAAATAAACTTATATGTATTTTGAGAATCGCTTTTAATAATTTTGCCCTCTTTTACAGGCCAACCTCAACTGACTTGCTATTACTTATACTACTTCTTTTACTATCATTCCCCTACGTCCTCGTAATGTGCCGTACACAAATAGAAGGCTTGGCCTGGAATTGTGGGAGGTACATTTTTCCCTATATAAACCACAACAAGCCCAGCTTACCTGTCATCAACGTTCCTTGAAGTGCCCCTCCCACCGCACCCTCAATTCATTAACATATATCCTATGTGGGCCCTCTTTTACAGGCCTAACCTCACGTCAGTTTCGGCACACCTCAACTGACTTGCTATTACTTATACTGCTTCTTCTACTATCATTGCCCTACGTCCTCGTAATGTTCCGTACACAAATATATATATATATATATATATATGTATATATATGCGTGCCATTTTCAGTTATTGTAAGTAAAGGATATATAAAAAGTCCACAATATACCTGTGCAGGTATAGGCCTGATGCAAGTAAGTGTAAGATTTCAAAATTCAACAATAAAGAACCCATTGTCCAGTGCATGTTCTTATTGAAAAATATTTTATTAAATGTACAGAAAACTTGTTAAAATGCTTTGTGAGAAGAGTGTTCCCTTTTTTTATTTTACAAAAAGAGATTTCAATAGAATTTGGCATTTTTATAAGGTAACCTGGTTACCCTGGCTTTAAACCAGACATCTATTCCTGTTACTTCCTGGTTTGGTTAGCTCAGTGTAGCTAAACTCAGTTAGCAGGCAATTGCTCACAACACCTGCATTGTAAAGACTTCTCATTGAGCTGCATTGGGAAATCTGTGATTGGGCAGCCACAGAAAGTCTGGGCCAGGGAAAAATGGAGGGCTGGCAAAGGCTGCAGACAAGAGAACTGCAGGTTTTGCAAGCTGTTTTTAGGTATATCCCCAGTGGAAAAAGTCACACTGTCATTTGGTGTATATCTACCAAACAGTAATTTTATTTGGGCAGTGGAGTGTCCCTTTAATACCTCCAGATAGAGTCGGTGAAATATGATCCTCTATCCACTAAGCCAGAGATTTCTTAGAAAACAAAATGATAAGTAGAACAAAAGGCATTGTTTTTTTTTTCTAAATATTTCAACTAAAGTCTGCTGATATCAAGGCAGTTATATCTTGTTTTAGGCTCTAAGATGGGGTGCTGGCAAATGATAAGGTGAAAGCTGTTTTCTGTAGACATAAGGAAGGCTGCAACCACAAAACCACCTTGTGGTCTTGGAATACTGTACATAGAGATAAAGATGACAACACATTTGGCCAAAAAGACAAAGAAAGTTTAATGGGTGTGAAGTTTCATGGAGCATGAATCCAAAAGGCACAAGAGTGGGACCACATAGGCCATTAATGAAATCTAAAGCAGAAACAATGGTTTGAACTGGAGAAGTTGGATAGGTCATTGCAGAAGCACTCAAAAGCCAGGTCTCTGTAAAAAAAATTAAATCCAAATTGAAACATTGATGAATGTTCATTTCAAACCAGAATCATATCTACTTATTTTGCCCAGCTCTACTTGTTGTGTTGTATCTATGTATTTTACGTAGCTCTGCCTGTATTTTTGAATCTACTGTATATAGTCTACCCAGCTCTGTGTATGGTGTAGGTATCACTGTGTTGTGAAACACAAATACAACTATAGCTTGTGAGAGCACACAATACAGATACAAAATATTAACACAGCTTTAGCACAATATATGAACCTGTAAAAAAAAAAAAAAAAAAAAATGGAAGATCAGTCTCCATTGCCCCTACCTCAGGCTGCCTGCCTCCTCTCCTCCCGGCATACATAGCCAGAGTAGGCACCTGTCATGCATGTAAGCAGATGCCTACTCTGCCTTCCTAAATAATCGCCATACCGAGGGCCCCATAGACAGGGCCGCTATTGGCGCCCCCCACCCGCCCCACATTTGGACACCTGGGCATGGTGCACCCCGCTATGCATTTTATCTTACTCTTTTCCGCTCATTCTGGAGTATGCTTATCTGTGCATTGCCCAGCTCAGAGGTAGAGTAGTCTGGTGCCCCACCATACAAGATCCAGTGCAGTCATCACTAAACAGCAACTTCAAAGCTCAGAAAATTTAAATCTGTTTTTTGTTTTTTTATATACATAAAATGTATTTATTTATTTATAAAATATTTTACCAGGAAGAATACATTGAGATTTTTCTTGTTTTCAAGTATGTCCTGGGCCCACAAACACTTCTTCATTACAATATGGTACAATAAAATATAAATATATAAAATAATATTAATACACAACACATGTATAAATTTGACACAGAACAGCTAAGAAATAGAATCTACCATGATTACAGGTGCATTCTATATTTAGATATGTTGAGAGAGATCTGTTAAAGTATTTTGGACTGGAGGAAGAATTGATTGTGTTCATGAGGTGCTCTGTAGTAAAATTAGGATCGAGCCACTTTCTTTTTGTATTGAGGTGGACTAAACAAAATGCTGGTGATTTAGATCAAATCAAACTTTGATTATTTGTCTATCTACTCCTTCCAAATTGATTAATTAATTGCGTGCACGTGTTCCTAGAAGTAATTCACACCGAAGACAAAGTTTCTGATTAGTGAAAAACCTGAGGAATGGCCTTTAATCCAAGGGGTGGGAGCCCCTTTTAAAGCAGAAATACGTCATGTACATAGTCACAGATTACACAAAGTATACTTTCAGCATCTGGTTAAAAGTTAGGAGGTCTTGTCTAAACCCACCCTACATGATGTTATGTCATCATCACAGAGCTCTCCCACCCACATTCCAGCTCCATCTTGGTTACACGATGGGAGGGGAAGTGAGTAGTTACTGAACAAAGAAGGGGGAAGGGGCTGAAGGGGAAACAGTTACTTTAACAGCGATTCTCCATTTTGTTACACGTGGCAGAGAGCTGTTGCACAAAGGAAGAGGGGGAGGGGTTAGTAAAGGAAGCTATTCCTTTAACACAGGAATCTGTTACTCGAGGCTTGCTCGATGGGAAGGGGGAGGTCATTTTGTGCTAAGAAAGAAATTAAAAGTGTATATTTCCAGAGTCACTCAGAACAGAGCGGACTCCATTTTGCTATCTTCAGGATAACAAAGACACATAATTTCCTTGCTTTCACTAACCACTGAGCCTGAGCTAAGGAATGCATTATATAAACACAGACACTAGTGACAGAGAAGACTAAGTAATTCATTTTACTTTCTAAATTTTACAAGGTCCCATTGTAAGTAAGGGGTGAAATTGAGTTTAGAACTGTCAATTTTAGAAATGACGATCAAAGTAGTTGCCACAAAGACTGAGACAAATGCTTTGAACTGACAGCAAATCTAAGTTATGGTAGTCATTTTAGATAAGCCAAATTACATCAAAATCGTCATCAGGAAAAGTTAACTCTTTCCTGGATAGGAAGGTTTAGTGAGACGAGACTGCCCTCTATGGATCAAATACCTAAATTGCGATCCATAGATTGAACCCACCTACAGTTTCCTATAGGCTTTATCAACTAATGACGTACAGAGAGTCTGGCCCTTTAAAAGTTAGGACAAAAGTTGGTAGAGAGACGAGTTGGAGTTTGGGCAATCAGATTCGGACATGCAGAGAGATCCAGGACTAACACTTAACTCTCAAACCCTTTTGGACACAACTCAAGAAACACCCTTGACACTTAGAATTTACTGATACTTTCTAACCAACATCACTTTTCTTTATTACTCACGCACCTCCATACAAAAAAAATCATATTTCTGGGACTACCTACTCTTCTGATGAGAATATCTACATAACTGGTAATTATGCTGGTTTTATTTAATTAATTTAAATTAATTAAAATTTACTAATGGCATGATAGATGACTGGATAAATCACGGTCAGGTTTTAAGATTTAGAAATCTTTGTTAACTAAAGAATATATAGTTATAAACATTCCATTCTGCAGGTGGAATTAAGAATAATTATATATTAATGTGATAGTATCACGTGTTAGCATACTGCTGTTTTTATCCAGGTGTATTGATTTGCTCTAATATAAGATAAGATATCTTTTTAGGCAAATTAAAATTCAGCTTTTGTAAAAATCTGGTAGATTATTCTTATTGGATGGTTCCAGGAAATGATTAATGAGCTGATTTGAATGTTATTTTAATTGGAAATTACATGAGAATAGGATATTATGTGCCTAGGAGGATCTAGCCAGCATTGAAAGGGTTACTCAGTTGATTTAACTGTTAGCCAAGGTTTTATGGCTTTTCGCTGTGTGAAGCTTTACTTTTGTCTGTAAAGTACCCTCATAAATCTTATTAAGTGACAGGTGATGCTGTTAGCCATTGGAACGTGTATAGCCATTCCATTGTATTGCATACTTGTGTTATACTAAATATTCACTGATTATTATCATGCATGCCGCCTAATATTATTGTTATTTTATTGGTCACAATGAATTAAATCTATTTTTATAACAAATTGTGATTTTATTTGTATGGAATACATTTCACTTACATGATAAACGATATCTAAGATCTAAGAGAATTGAAATAGTGGGCAATTCTCGACTGTTTAATATTATCATCCCATAAATATCCCCACAGGAGCAGGATTAGAGGATTAGAGGAAATAGTTACTGAGCGGGGGAAGGGCAACATTTACTGAATGAGCACACATGTACAGAGAAAAATATAAATTTTATCCATTCAAGTATTTTGTCCATAAGACTGGTACTTGATCGGAGGTTTTAGGAGGTGGGAAAAGCTGGGGAGAGCATTCTGCTCAGGTAGGGTGGGAGCTTTCCCAGAAAAGCTCTTAAACACAAGGCAGAAGAGATGAAGGGAGCATCTGGGTTCCAGTGGTAGCCAGTTTAGTTCTTCTAACGTGTCCCAATAGTGGGTCATGTAATTACATTATAGCACAAAGCAGCATAATACATTTCACAATGTAGTAAGTTTATGAAGGTGTGTGTCAGGATCCTATCCTGACAACTAAGTTTATGTTCGTTTACTCCTGTTTCTTTAATAAATAGTTCCAGATCTGCACCACTGGTGGCCACCATAACCACCAACCTTGGATTTTACCTTCGTCATCCTCACCTGTCTGGACTAATCAAGAAGCTACAAAAGGCTATACCCAACTTACCACATGGCCTTTGCAATGACGTTGATTCTCATCCTTAAAGACTTCAGTTCCTGTCTCCTTTAAACCTTCCTGTGGACCTACACTTCTATCCTGCTTACCGGCTTGATACCAACCTGTTCCAAACCAGCCTAACCTACACTTCTATCCTGCTTTATCCTGCCAATCAGATTTACACCAACCTGCATAACACCAATCTGGACTTTGCCTCTTATATTGCAAGGTGTTATTTCCATACTTTATCAGTACTCCTTCCAAGAGGGTGCTGATTCACTAAAGTCTTCTTATTATTTCATTTATAAGATACCCTGCTGTGTTCTATTATGTCCAAACTCACCAATAAAGCCTCTGATGTTAACACTGGCCAAAGTCTCTCACCTGACTTGCTCAAGATCAGTGGGTTTGCAGTGCAGATGCACACACTATATCCCCATATTTAATGACTGGCATTAGCATTTGTTTTACAATCTGTTTTCTTACTGTGTGGCTTAGGCAGGATTTGTTTTCTGTACCTGGCACCTAGTGTTGATGAGTTTTTCAATGTGAAGGCCAAAAGGTAGATTGGGGTCTAGCAACATACCCAAGTATTTGAAAGAACGGAATGGGGTCAGTGTGCTATTTGATTTTGTTCTGATGCATAGACGAGAATTTTGTAATTTATGGAATTTAGGTACTGATCATTGTGACAGTTGACCAGTGTTTAGGAAAAGTTTGTTTTGTGTGGTCCACCTTTCTGCCTCTGTGAACTGGTCTTAAAGCACAGCTTCAAGCTTTGGTAGATTTGGTTTGCTAGTGTAGATTACGGTTTTGCGTACATGTGTACAGTTGAGGCTTTGCAGGTGTTAGGCCGATAAATTATGAATAGTAGGGGCCGAGTATGGTGCCTTGGGGAACACCACATGTGACTGTGAGACACTGTTGGAAATTGACACATATTGTGATTAATCTGATATATGTCATTGAAACCAGGTAAGTGGATGATTACCAACACCTTAGTTTTTGAATTTTTGCTATAGAATGCCATTGCCTCCTGTATCAAATGCCTTGGCAAAAACAATGGAAATAGCTCCAGTTAGATCTTCTTGTTCCATTCCAGTTTAGATGTGATTGTAAGAGGGCAGTTTGATTGTTGGTAATACTCACATAGTTGCGTATGGACAAATTTTTCCAAGATTTTTGACAATACAGGGAGGAATGATATTGGGCAATAGCTAGAAACCAAAGTAATGTCACCACTTTTATGGATAGGTACTACACTTGCATTCTTCCAAAGTTTAAGT